TATATATATATATATATAGTTTCACCTTCCACCCCCTATTTTTTAGTTTTGCGTTGCAATTTTATAGGATTTCGTGATTCTTGCTTCCATTTTTAGATAATAATGTAAAGTAGTTGTGTTCCAGCTAAGTTTACGAGTAGAATTTTTATAGTAAAACTTGCACACTGTTTAAAAAAAAGGCACACACTAAAAGTTTTAAATAAAAAAATATACTTTTTCTTCTTAAGTCTCAGTGGAAAACAAAAAGAATAAGACAGTTGCACCGCTGAGGCGTAACCTAAAAATAAAATTACGCATAGCAAACCACTACCCTGTCTCAGAACTACGCCGTCACACCCGATCTTTCTCTTAAACTAGACGATTAACTTTATAAATTATTTTTTCTTTAAACGTTCCATTCAAGTGACACAAATTGAAAGTGAGTGGCTATTTGTATCATCATGAAACTAACCGCAAAAACTTCGCATACGCCATCTAGAGTTCAGTCATCTCACAAACCAACCTACAAACACGAAATGCCTCTTTTTTTCAGTCTAATTACCTTAAAGCACCAACGTTATAAATAAAGTTTCACTACTGAATTGCCTTTAAGGTATTGTTGTAACGGTTTCTATTGTTGGACAGGTTCTTCTGGTTTATTCGGTAAAAGAAACAATACAAAGTTTAGTCAACTTAATGATAACGAAGTTGTTTTATTTCTTCCACTACACGTTTATACTGTTCCGAATCTGGTCGTTTGATAATTTCAGGTAAAAATTCTTTCCGAGTGACTTCAGCGATACAAGTCTCTTCTTGATTAAAACTAGTTTATTCTTTCTCGATACAACTTTGTAATATACAGAATTTCCACAGTCCCTTTAAACTTAACAAGGTTTATAACACATGCTATAAATCACAGTGATTCACACATTTTACTTACGGTGCCTACTGTTTGCTTGACTCGATTATCTCTCTCTTCAATCTATCTATATCTCTTCTATTTAACTGCCTATCGTGCTGGTTTTACTTGCCAGGCTTATATATTAAAAAGAGAGCGTCTATCTTTCCGATCCAACTTGCCAATGTCCCTCTGGGTTTTTAATGATCTTAACCAGCGTAATGCAGCATGGTCTGTCCTGATGGTAATCTGGCACCATAGAGATAAGGATGGAAATACGTCAGACTCTTTACTATAGAAAGGTGTTCCCTCCGTGTTACACAGTAGTTCCTCTCTGGTCTACTCAAAACCCTACTGAAGTAGGCCACCACATGTTCGTTTTCGCCCACTTTCTGAGACAATATCCCTCCAATTCCGACATTACTAGTATCACAATCCAGTACGTATGGCTGTGAGGGATTTGGAAGCTTTAAAAGTGGAGCTGAGGCCAATTTTTCTTTCGATGTCTTGAACGCATGCTGGCAAGAAACTTTCCATTCAAACTTATGGCCTTTTTTAGTCAAATCATG